CTGATTTTCTCCAGCAACTCAGACATATTTGAGAATAATAGGGTTGTAATAGCTGGTCATTTTAATTTTCCAAACATTGACTGAGACTGCCAAAGTGTTAAAGGGTTGGATGGTGAGGAATTTGGTAAATGTGTTTAGGAATTTTTTTTTATAAATATGTAAATGTTCCGAGTAGAGAAGAAGCAAAGCTTGACCTCTTAGGAAGTAAGGCAGGGCAGTGATTGAACTGTTAGTAGGGGAACACTTTGGGACTAGTGATCATAATTCTTTTAGTTTTAAAATAGTTATGGAAAAGGATAAGCCTTCCATGAAAGTAAAAATTTTTAATTGAAGTAAGGCAAATTTTAATGGTATGAGAAGAACTTTCAAAAGTTGATTGAAGTAAACTGTTCGCACGTAAAGGGATGACCGACAAGTAAGAGGCTTTCAAAGATGCGGTAATGAGACTTCAGAGGCATTATATTCCTGTTAGGAGTGACAGGTAAGGCTGGTAAGATTAGGGAACACTGGATGAATAAACATATTGAGGTTCTCAACAAGAATATAAAAGAATCATATTTTAGATATAGACAACTGGGATCATATGAATCTCTTGAAGAGCATAAAGAGTGCAGGAGCATTCTTAAGAGGGAAATCAGGAAGGCAAAGAGGGGATATGAGATAGGCTTCGCAGATAAGATTAAGTATAATCCAGAGATTCTACAAGTACATTGAGAGCAAAAGTGCAACTGGAGAGAGATTAGGGCCCATTAGAGATCAACGAGGTCATCACTGTGTTGAACCTGAGGAATTGGAAGAGATATTAAAAGAATTTTGCGTGTCAGTTTTTACTGTGGAGAAGGAAATGGAGGCTAGAGAATTCGGGGAAATAAATACTGAGGTTTTGAAAACAGTTCACAAAGGGAAGATGAACTGCTGAAGGTCTTAGAAAACATAAAATTGGACAAATCTCTAGGACCTGATTAAGTGTATCCCAGGGCATTGTGGGAAGTTAGGGGGGAAATTGCGGGGCCCCGGAAGAAATATTTGCATCAACAATAACCACAGGTGAGATGCCAGAGAACAGGAGGATGGCTACTGTTGTTCCTTCATTTAAGAAAGGCTGTAAGGAAACACCTGGGAGCTATAGATCTGTGAGTCTGATATTGGTGGCGAGTAAGTTGTTAGAGATGATTCTGAAAGATAGGATTTATATGCATTTGGCCAGGCAAGGAGTGATTAGGGTTAATCAGCATAGTTTTGTACAAAGAAAATCATGTCTCACAAACTTGATTGAGTTTTTTGAGGAAATAACCAAAATAATTGATGAGTAAAGCCTTTGATAAGATTCTGCATGGTTGACTAATTAATAAAGTTAGATCACATGGGATTCAGGGTGAGCTTGCCAATTGGATACAAAATTGGCTTTAGGTCGTGGAGGTTTGTTTTTCTGACTGGAGGCCTGTGAAAAGATGTGTTCCACAGGGAACGGTGCTGAGTCCACTTCTGTTTATCATTTATATAAGTGATTTGGATGAGAATACAGGGTTAGTAGGTTTGTGGGTGACACCAAATTTGGTGGTATAGTGATAGGTAAAGAAGGTTATCTAAGATTACAAAGGGATCTTGATCAATTGGGTCAATGGGCTGAGGTGTGGCAGATGGAGTTTAATTTCAATAAATGTGAATTATTGCATTTTGGTAAAACTGGGCAGGACTCATACAATTAATGGTAGGGCCCTGGGTAGTGTTGTAGCAGAGAGCAATCTAGGGGTTCAGGTACATAATTCTTTGAAATTTGTATCACAGGTAGACAGGGTCATTAAAGAAGGGGTTTAGCACACTTGTCTTCATTGCTCAGATCTTTGAGTATACTAGTTGGGATGTCATGTTGAGGGTGTACAGGATGTTGGCGAGGCCTCTTTTGGAGTAGTGTGTACCCTTCTGGTCACCCTGTTATAGGAAGGATATTATTAATTGGAGATGGTTCAGTAAAGATTTACCAGGATGTTGCAGAGAATGAAGGGTTTGAGTTATAAAAAATAGGCTGGATAGAATCAGAGAATCCCTACACTTTGGAAATAGGCCATTCGGCCCAACAAGTCCACATCACCCCCTCCAAAGAGCATCCCACCCTTTCCCTGTAACCCTGCATTTCCCATGTCTAATCCACCTAATTTACACACCCCTGGACACTATGGGCAATTTAGCATGGCCAATCCACCTAACCTGCACATCTCTGGACTGTGGGAGGAAACCGGAGCACCTGGCAGAAAAGCATGCAGACACGGGGAGAATGTACAAATTCCACACAGACAGTCGACTGAGGGTAGAATCAAGCCCTGGTCCCTGGAACTGTCAGGCAGCAGTGCTAACCACTGAGCCACCCAAAAACTTGAGTGATCGTAGAATCCTAGTGTTAAAGCAGGTTATTTAGCCCATCAAGTCCACAGCTACCATCCCATATTTCCCATGGCTAATCCACCTAATTTGGACTATGGGAAGAAACCAGAACATCTACAGGAAATCCACACAGACACAGGGAGAACGTGCAAACTCCACACAATTACCCATGGGTGGAATTGAACCCAGGTCTCTGTTGTTGTAAGGCAACAGTGCTAACCACTGAGCCACCATGGTTTGAGACTTTTTACACTGGAGCTTAGGAGGTTCAGGGGGATCTTATAGACGTTTATAAAATCACAAGGGGCATAGATAAGGTTACTAGCAAAGGTCCTTTTCCTAGGGTGAGGAATTCAAAACTAGGGGGCATATTTTTAAGGTGAGAGGAGCAAGATTTAAGGAGGACACGAGGGACAACTTTTTTTACACGGTGGTTAGTGGGTGGAGTGAACTGCCAGAAGAAGTGGTGGATGCAGGTGCAGTTACAATGTTTAAAAGACATTTGGATAAGTACATGAATAGGAAAGGCTTGGAAGGAAATGGACCAAACACAGCCATGTGGGAATACTTTAGTTTGGGAACATGATTGGAGTGGACTAGTTGGACAGAAGGGTCTGTTTTCATGCCATATGATTCTAAATCTCTTTTCAATTCTGATGACTCCATAATTTCTCTTAAATTCTCACAACCTGAAGATTCCACAAATCAAACACTTTTCTGCTGGGTGGGAAGTATTCCCCTGCAAGGGAAAAGATCCTTCCTTTCTAACTGACCTAAAATCAGAAGCTTCCTTCAGGTTTGTTCTGGATCTGTATGGGTTTAATCAGCAACATAAATATTCCATCCAAGAGGCTCTGTGGTATAGTGGGATTGTCCCTACCTCTGAGACAGCAGACCTGAATTCACATCCCACCTGTTCCAAAGGTGTATAACAGCATCTCTGAGCAGGTTGATTTTAAAAATCATGTCCAAATTTCCCAACCATTAATACAACAATGTCCTGCTAGTCACTTGACTTGTCACATGCCTTTTTGGCATGTCACCGTTTAAGTCACTGTTCCAAATGACTTTCTGACCATTGTAAAGTGAAAATAAACCTTTGCAGATCTGAAACCACGCATCCATCTCTATCTTAAAAGTCTATACAGGTAGTTCTGCTATAATACATGTTTTGTTAACACAAATTGGCTGTAATG